TGAATGACAGATTTAACTATAAGAATATTTTTGCTGAATTATGTCACTTGTCCTGCCTTCCACACAGTTTGCAGAGTTCTGTCATCAGAGGTATGCTTGCTAAAATAGCATTATCTGGACAGGATGGCAACTAGCAGCTCCATCAAGACCTTCCTCAACCTTTTAGGAGAAAGCCCTGGTAAGTCTGGTAAAGGCACATGGCTTTGGAGACAGTGGAGGAGCTAATTAGAGGCATCTCAGTCTGTTTCAGTGTAACACCATAAAAAGTGTGTGCTAGCTAGAAAGCAGAACATCTGGCAAACAGGCTAATGAGAGCCAGACTGGGGGAGCTCTGAGGCAAATGCAAGAGCTACCCTGTAGAGTTTGTTTATAACTCTTTGAATTTGTAGGAGGTTACTAGTTTGTTGGATTTTTAAAATTATTATTATTACTTATTAAAACAAATGCAGGCACTAAAGATCAAACAATGAAAGTCTGAATTTGACATGTAATAGGCTGGCTGGGAAGGGTGATTTATCCCTTGTTCCTGTGAACATTTTCTGTCCCTTATTCCCCTCTTGGCTCTGCCCTTGAGATCCCCCGTGGCCACATGAGCAACTCTGAATGAGAGGAGTTTGTTTGTGTTCTCAGCCAATGGAGAGTTTTTCCTTCCCCTAAGCAGAGCATTTGTTTTGCAAAGGGAGAGGTTTGGGCTCTGGAAAGTTTATGCTCTTTCTCTTTCTTTGTTTTTTTGTTTTTTTTTGTTTTTTATTGTAATGATGACATATGGAAACTATTTACACAGGAGCATGCTCTGCTGCACTGAATGGAAATGTTGGAGTCCCGGCAGTATCGTTCCGGATGCCTTGTGTAAGCAGCCAGCTGGTTTTGCTTTTTCTTTTTTTCACTTTTCTTTTTTTCCCCCTCCCTCTCTCCCTTTTCAGTGAACGTCTGGGATAAGTTACACAAGTGTGGAAGGAAGCTTTGCCATCTGTGAACAGCTCAGTTGGTCTTGCTTTTTCATGCCCCTTGTACTGTGAACTTCACAAATATCTGTTTTCTTTTTTTGCTGGGGGTGGGGGAAGACTCCTTGCTGTGACTAGTCAGCACTTTGACTCCTTTCCCATTAGTTGTTCATGTTCACTGGGGAGCAAATTCTGCTATATGCCAAAATAAGAGAGCATGGCACATGAAGTCTTGCTTTACCACCACGCTCATGCTTAAAAGCTCTTTGTCCCACATCTAAGCCTTCCAACAACTTGCACTTAGAAACATTCTGCCACTAGGACAGTGATAGGGAAACAATTTAACTGAAGTCTGAGCCACCTTCCTCAGAGGGGAGGGGAGAAAACATTTACTTCTGCAGAGAGCAGAGGAAAATCGTTTGTGCGTAGCTTTCCCTTGAGGAAGCTGCAAAATTGAGGGTCGGCTTTCGGAGGAGAGGGAGGGAGGAACTTCAGATCTGACTTGTCTCCCTCTCCCCAACTCTGAACACAAGCGTGCCTGCTTCCCGACACGGCGGCTGTCATGCAGTGGAGAGAGCCGCCTGCCATCTACTTCGAGGATTACGGGAGTCCTGTGGAGAGATCCTCCTATCTCATTGAGCTCAATACTAATGGTAAATGCCGTCGGGGATGTTCGGCAGCACGAGCTGAGCGGAGCGGAGGTTGCATTAGTCTGTGTCATTGTTATCATGGGAGCAGCTGAGGAAATTAGCTAGCTGGAGGGCTGCCAAACAAACAGTCAGAGGGTTGCTTTTCAAATTTATTATTATTTTTATTATTATTTATTACGCAGATGATGCTGTTGCCTCAGGGATGCTAGATCAACCTTCTGGTACCTGATGGGGAAGGAGCTGATCCACAAAATGCAGCTCCCCACCGGAACACTTCACCAGTACATTTTCTGTTGTCTGTGCCTAGAAAGATGATGTCTGGTTTAGACAGGAGGAAAACGTCTTGGTTTCTAGAGTTATTTTTTGTTTCTGATTTGCATCTTTGAGTGCTGTTTTGTGTTCCCAACCTTGATCTCACTGGGACATCTCCTCTGTTTCAGCTGCAAGTCCTCTGTGTGAAACACAGAGAGCGGTCCTGTTTTTTTACTGTGGTGTATCTTTTCCTAGTGTTGATCCTTTTCAAAGAGAGGTTGGTCTTTGCGAAAGAACTACTTCAGCATTAACGGAAGTTTTAGCATGTTTTGGTAGGGTACATTGTTTTGGTGTTTTGTTTAATGCTACAAACCTTTGCTGATTTGACCACAGTATGTTTTGATGTACTTAAATTTCGTATATACTGTAATGCTCCAATAACACGGTAATATTTTAAGCAACCTGCTTAATATGTCCCTCTTCCCCAGAAGAGCTAGTGCAGCCAAGGTATTGATTCTGTGCTTTTTCAATATCCCCTGAACTGTGTGAGAAGAATCACACGCAGATTTTTCTCTGAACGCTTGCTGTGTTTTGACGGGGGAGTTCTGGAAAGGCCTGAAACTCCAGCTCCTGTTAGTGCCTTCACAGCTGTTGATGGTTTGAGCCAGGCATCCTGCAGCCTCACCCCAGCCACCAGATAATGAAGGAGCTGTGGGTGACGTGCTGTAGAGGTCTCCGTGTAACATCGTGGATGGCACATACGGCTCTGGGCATCTTCAGACGGCAGGTTATGCGTGGTAAGAAGAGGTTGCGCTCTCTGCTCCGATGTACCAGTCACTTGTGCGCCTCAGCAAAGTCTGGGGGTGTTTGACACCTCTGCGCCTGTCTGTGGTAATGCTTGAGGTCTTTGAGGCTGGGGGCTGAAGGCCACTTTGTGCTCTGCCTCTACTGTGACCCGGTTTAGTGCCTCGCAGAGGGGAAGGCAGGCAGGATGGGGCTGCAGTGTGTTTCCTCTGGCAGCAAACGACCTCTTAGGATGGGAATGAGGATTGGAAAATACTTGTCTTCTGCACAGTAAAGAACTTCAGCAGTGAGTCCAGGTTCTGATGAAGATGTGCTCCTTCTGCAACTCTGTTAAGCATTGAATGCAAAAAGGTTTTTGCTATCAGGCTGCAGTTTGAGGGAGTCTGTCTTTTTGAAACACACATACAGGAAAAGCTTCGTAAATAACATTTAAGAACTTCTCAGAGCTCACAATATAAAGCTTCTGATTTTTGCATATTGCTGTAATCTTTTACTTAAAAGGCAAACAAACCTAGAAGACTGCCATCCAGTTCTGTGGATAAATAAAATCTCTGTTATTCCATTTTTTCAAGAACCATGCTCATTCAAGGTGTAAAAGCAGTGTGGGGGAGGAATCAGCCTCATTCAAACATTCGTCCAGATTTTGAGTGGTATTTTAAGGGTACGGGGGAAGCAACGAAGAGAAATAGGCTTAAATGCTGCAGGATTGTCAGCAATCTGAGTATGCAATCTGGAAAGTCTTCACAAATCCCAGATAAATGTTATCTTAATTTGATTTGAGGGTGGAAAAGGCAGCTGTGGCTCTACATTGGGGAAGGGGTTTCTGATTTCTTCCCACTGCCTGCCTTTCTGCCAGCAGCATGTGGTGCCATTTCCCTTGGTGGGTGCAGAGTTTTTGGCATGGACTCTTTCTCCACTCCAGAGGGTGTTCTAGAAAGACTGAATCAGTAATTCAATAAGGATTATTTTGTCATTATTTTGTCATAGCAAAGAGATGCAGCAAATCTTCAGCAAATTGTAATTTTTTTCCCCTCTCTCAAATAACTTCTTGTAAGTCAGAGAGAACAAGCTACCGCATCACAGCTTCAGTGCTCATAAAAAGAGGGAAATCAGCACTTTTGCACTGGCAAGATCAATTTTACGTGTACCCTCTTTGGGAACATGAGGCACTGGAGGAGGGAAGTCTCCACTGAGAGCAAGAACAACCATGTGGTCTGGGTAATGATTGAAACTCTGCAGAACTGAGTGCGTGGCCAGCTCCGCCACAGGTTTCATGTGTGGCCCTAAGCAGGTCTCACTTCTCTGGGGTCTCTGCTCAGTATTCTTTGTCAAAGGTGCAAAATAAAAATTCCAGTCCCAGAAGAAGAAAGCAAGCGACATTCCCTTTTTGAACAATTCTTGTCTTCATGCATGTTTTTCATGTGTCTTAATAGCACTGAGGCTGCTGAATGCAAAAAATGGCAAGTATTGTGGAGTTTATGTATGTGGCCTGCATAGCTCTCCCATGGGAAGGGCACTAGTATGTGTTGCTATGCTTGGGAGTTGCTTTTTGCAGTTGAATTGTATTTTTTTAAAAGAAATCTTTAGTTATGAAATCTGGTACAAATGTTCAGTAAAGCATTGTTTTATAGTGCTTTATTGGTGAGAAAGACACGCTGTTAGAAGTTTCAGTATCAGTCTATGGGATATGAACAGAAAATTAGTCTTGCTGTTTGTTTTCATCAGAGGGGTATTGGTACTTATCTGCATCAAAGAGAGTGTTGCAAAGATGCATTGTTTAATGACTCTAGAGAGCTCTGAAAAATGAGGCTTTCTACTAAAAATACTGACTGCTGCTATTAGTGTACTATGCAGCTTCTATGCTGAGACCGGTTTCCCTTGCCAGTGGTAGTCCTGTATTCCATCCTTCTGTGGTCTCTCCTACCATTAAATGTGAAAAGGCAGTGTTCCTTTAGCAAGCCTACTTTTATTTTGTGGGTTGGACATCCTTGGAGACTTCTAGCTGTTAGCTGCCTGTTTATGGTTTATGACTGCTGATAGTATGCTACGAACATGACAGCACAGATCTCCTGAGCCAGGAGACCTGCTTATAGTATTAAATAGGATGCTGTCTCCTTTGATTATCTTCTGGGAGCATTCCTGTGTTGAAGTGCTGAGTTTGAGTGTGTCTCTTAAAAGCTCCTACATGGGAAGAGTCAATTTGTCTGTGTACAAGCTGCCAGTTTCCTGGGTACTCTGCCACCTCTTGATACTTGTCTCTGGTCCCAGTGCCTGGCTAGTTTGCATGCCTCCTGATCAATCTCAGCTCTCCTAATTGTAAATCAATTTTTCTCTTATTGTACTGGTGCAGATGGAGGTAGCTATGACGTTATTAATGATGCATCCAGCCCTGCTGCAGGAGACTGCTGCGCGCAGCAAAGCTCTGCCCGACACAACTGGGAAATGAACTACCAAGAGGCAGCAATCTACCTCCAGGTGAGCCCTGCTGTTTGGTGTTTTGTGTGAAAAATGGACTTCTGAAACTATGGTAGTTCTTGATTATAAGAAACAAAGAGCTTCTGTTTGATGTTAAAAATTTGGTGCTTTGCAAAGGAATCTGCTTAAAGAGCAGGGTGATGCTGGAAGCACCATCAGATGGGCTCTGGCAAGTCATTTGGGAGCAACTGAACAAGCTACCCATCCTCTCCCATCTCTCCCAGTGTGAAGGACTGCAGTAGTTGAGGGATTCAGCACACGTTCATGCCACCTTGCCATGGAGATTTCCGTAACTTGTCATTTCATCTCTTCAGTCACTCCGAGGTGAATGGTCAGTGCTCTCCTGGAGACATCTCGTGTTCTGAATGTGCAGGTCCTAATCCTGCCTTGGCCACAGATTTGGTGGGTGGTCCTGGGATGTTCATTTAGCATCAGTCAAGCCCTTCAGGTCATGTAAGACACAAGAGAAGGTAGAGGTCTTGATTTCTTGATTCAGAAAGCATACTGAGATTAGGATCAGCCCAGGAATGAAATTTATCATATTTTAAAAGAAAAAACAACAAACAAACAAAAAAACCTCACCCATGCTCCAGTCACAGGAAACACCATCATTACTCCAACAATGGTATAATATTTTTAAGATTGATGTAGAGTCTGGTGTGATGAATTAGCTATCAAAACTGAGCTTCTCTCAGAGCTGTCCAGTCTGAAGTTGTTGCTGGTTCCCTTACTGTCCTTCTTTCCTCCTTCTCTTTGTTCCCTTTCAAAGGCTCTGCATTGCAGCTTGACATGCTTTGGACCCGGTTAGTTTTTTTGCTTAAGCCACTGCAAGGTGATTGAAACCATTTGTCCCTCCCTGCTCCTACCCCACAGGACTGAGAAGTATTGCTTCTCTGACATTTTAAAACTGAGTAGGCTTGAACCCTGGTAATAGTTCAGCTTTGTCATGTGCTAGAGCAGCACTGATAATATAATGGTAGCTCCAGCCCCTCCTGGGCTTTTGTTTAAACTCATGATTATTGGAGATGCTCTGCAAAGGGTCATTGAGTTGCTGCAGTGTCTGATGGTAATGTACGCAGCAGGCTTGGCCCTTCAGATGCAGATTATTCTTGCTGCTGCTTTGAACAATGGTCATGATGACAGTGTCCTTGAAGTAGACATAACTTAAAGAGCATGCAGATTGTTTATTTGAACCAGTAGCTGCAGGCAAGAGTGTCTTATCTGAATAAGAGGACTTTGCTGTCCAGCAACGTTTTGAATTGCTTCTCTACCAAGAGGCAGAATTTAGATTATTTTTCATTCTGCAAGTGTGTTTTGTCAGGCATGAATAAGAATGCCCTGCTGATCTAAGCTAGCATTCTCTTTGAGTGGGGGGGCTTGCATTTTATGGAGCTTGCTGCTGGGTTTTGTCCTGCTTGCAATCTGGCTCACTGACCGGGCAGTGTTTGTTTGTTCTTAAATAGAATGTGAGCCTGCTTGTGAGACAAGTAAGTGAGAAACATTTGAAACCCTCTTATGAATTAGTCTCGAGAATGCTTCACTTCTTAAAGGAGATCCTGTTTCCTGACCTTGTTATCCATTTGCAATCACAGTTATTCCGCTTTGATAGTAATAACTTACTGTCCTTAGAGTAATTGTTTACCTGGAAATACGTTAATTTAAAAAAAACAACCAAACTTATTGTGCATCTGTATGTCCCAGCTGGGAAAAAATGATCTCTTATGACTGCTTCCAAGAGGCAGCAAGTTTCCTGTGAGTGACAAAGGCTCCCTTGCTTAAACTATTGACTCAAGAAAGAGAAGCTGTTGGGTGGTTCTGCATGAAAAACCTCTAAATTCTCCCCAAACTAAGTTTTGTCCTAGAGGTAAAAATAGTAATGATGTAGCTGTTTAAAAATCAGTTGTAGGCAAACTGTTAAGATGGAGTATCTGACCTTTTAATGTTAATTAAGCTTTCTAGTTAAAAGGGAATGACAAATCAGCATAGAGACTTGTTAATTTTTCATGGAGTCTGTCTTCTCACATTCCTGAAGGAGAAAACACTGTGTGTGCTCCAGTGTTTTCTCCCAGATATTTTGCAAGGCCAAGATAAGGAGGAGCAACTGTCAGCCAGGTGCCCTGGAGCTTATCTGTGTGTTTTCGTGTTCTGTCCTGGAGAAGTTTAATCAAATGAGTCTGCAAACATGTGGAAGTGGTTGCAAGTAAATGAAGTGCTGTGTTTATGTTGGGATGTTGACTAAAGTTTCTTTGCCTACCTTTATAAACTCTCGCAGCACTCTTCCTTATTTTGAAAAGGCTCAAGGGTTTCTGAAGCAGGAGTTTGTGGATATTAATGAGTTTCATTACTGAAATATGCTTATGAACAGAAGGAGATGTCCCAAGTGTGTGGAGTTCATTCCTCAATAAACAGATCAATGTCAGGCTGTAAAGTGGGAATAGTCTGTTGGGAATTGTATCTAATCCTTATAAAAGTCTGCATTCTTCATGTGGAAAGCTCTGTTATAGTACCAAGAGTCACTAATGCTATTCTCTTCTTTATTCCTACTGCCTTAGGAAGGAGAAAATAATGATAAGTTCTTCACTCACCCCAAAAATGCCAAAGCACTTGCTGCCTACCTCTTTGCACACAATCACCTTTTCTACCTAATGGAGCTGAGCACAGCACTGCTTCTCCTGTTGCTGTCTCTCTGCGAGGCACCAGCTGTTCCTATGCTCCGTCTTGGCATCTTTGTAAGTACTTTGGGGCAAAATGAAGAAGTCCGCCTGTTTTGCAGTGGTGGGTAAGAGGAAAAAGAAGGCTAAGCATGGAGGAAGAAGGTAGTAGTAGGAAAAAACACCTGGCCTTGTTCTGTAAATTGGTTGACAGCAGATATGTCAACTAGCAAAACATCCTTTCTCCATCTGATGTGCATAGACCACAATGAAAGTGACACATTTCATGTTACCAGTTTGTGCAGTTCTTAAATTTTGTAACTGTTAGAGAATTGTGTGGTTTTTGCTTTTCCTTGAGGTAACTCAAGAATCTGTGTGCTTTGATGGAGTAGTTTTAAAGTCATTGTCAGGGTTGGTGCCATTAATGCAGCACCACCACTGGTTCCTAGAACACAAACAGATCTGAGCCTGGGACAGGCTGCTAAACCTTCTCCCGTCCTCTCCTCCCAGCGTTGTGAGGACTCTTTTTAGTGTGTCTGTGTGTGAGTGACTTGAAGTTTTACGTCTAACCTTCACAAAATTTAGGTTGAGAGAAGGGATACACAAACTGATGTGTAACGTTGTTGGTCCACAACCGCTTCATGAGGTACCGCTGTCAGGCACAGTGCTAGGAGCTGCTGTTGCTGGTGGGAGAATCTACATCTGCTTCTGGAGCTGTTAATGGCACCCTAGGACCATGCCAGGGGTGTAGAACAGCCTTGACAACCCTCGGGTCAAAGCATTCCTCAAAATGAGTCAGGGCTGCATAACTCAGTTTGGGTTTTGAGCTGTGGCTAAAGCTGAGGTTGTAAGAAAATACTGGTGTCGTCTTTGTGGTGCATTTTGCATCTTCTGACAGGGAAGGGGTCCTTCAGCACTGCTAAAAGCAGTGTTCTGTTCCAGAGCTTGATCAGGACCCTGTCTGTGGTTATCCAGAATGTCTGGTTCAAGAGAAAAGCCTTCTCTATGTAAATGCTCTCTGCCCCACAGCTCTCCTTCCTGCATTTCACTAAGAAAATTACAGTCTCAATCTTTTAAAAGTGTTTCTGCTCAAATTCCTGATTGCTGGTGTCTTGCCCTTTTGTTTCAAATGTATCGATACTTTTTTTTGATGTGTTATTCAAGTCCAAAAGGGATGTGGATTTCAGGAAATTCTGGGCTGATACTGGTTAGGGGAAAATTGTACAGGCTTTAATAAAAGCACAAAGCAGTACGTATAGAAACTTTGAAAAACAGTGCTGTGCTAGATTTAAGAGTGGCCTTGGGCTTTCCTGCATGTCACAGAGCTGTGCTCAGACTGTTGTCAATCCCACATGCTTCTTGAAAAAGGAAGGGCAGAAGTGTGGCCTCTGATGTGCTGCTGTTTGTAATCAGAAGCACTGGTTTAAGCTTTACTGTATTGTAACAGGTCCATGCAACCCTGGAGCTGTTTGCGTTAATTGTGGTAGTCTTTGAACTCTCAATGAAGATGAGGTGGCTGGGCTTCCAAACCTTTATCAGGCACAAAAGGACTATGGTAAAGGTAAGTTGTCTGTATGATTGTCAGTGTTTCTCCTTCAGCATCTTCAGGAGCCAAAGAACCAGATTAAATATTGGCCTGTACTGTAGCAGAGATGACTTAGCCGTGTGTCCCAGCTGCCAAATGATTCATGTGAGATCTCCAAGCTGTCCGGGACACCTCCCATCCTTAAAGTGTCCAAATAAATGGGTGGTCAGTGAGAGCTTTGCCTTTCCCAGAATGAGACTGCAGCTGTGCCTCTCATTAAACCCCTGTTTTGCAGACTTGCGTGCTGTTTGTACAGTTCATAGAAGCCATCGTGGTGTTGGTACGCCAAACCTCGCACGTCCGGATAACGAGAGCTCTGCGCTGTATCTTCTTGGTGGACTGCCGTTACTGTGGTGCCGTCAGAAGGTGAGTGGTCAGCTGGCTGGGTTTTCTGCTGTCATGCTTGTGACTAGGGTGGAGGAAAAGCACTCTGATCCTGCAGACATCTCAGGAAAATAAGTGTCTTTCATGGGCATTTCAGATCTCAGAGGTCTTTTGTAATTGTGATTGAAGCGTACCTAGTGTCTTTCCTATGTAGGGAAATTTCACAGGTAGTAACTTTGGATGCGATCACGGTACACAGTGGTTATGTGTACTGTCCTCAGATGTATAAACTACCTCAGAGAGCACAATGCGTGAATGTGGCTGTGTTGTTTCTGGCTCCTAGGTTTGCCTGTAGACTGCACAATGAATCACAGAGCTAGTCTTTAGTCTGGAGAAGTCAAGTTGACAGGGTGACATTAGTATTGTTTGCAGTACCTGAGAACTGATTGCAAAGGACAGATAGGTAGCTTAGAAACAATCTTAATTTACCTAGCATTCTACTTTTAATCCCTGGAGGGAGTAGGAAGAAAGTCCTCAAGTATGGTGTGTTGTTGGGTTTTTTCCCCTGCCAACCCAGAGGAGAAAACATGCAAGTTTTTGTTTATTAATGTTTTCTTATTTTTCAGAAATCTGCGACAGATCTTCCAGTCCCTCCCACCATTTATTGACATTCTTCTCCTCCTGCTTTTCTTCATGGTGATTTTTGCCATCCTGGGTGAGTTGTATTTATGGCAGGTGAAGTGATGCTCTTAACCAGTTACTGTCCAAAAGCAGCACAGACAGCCTGGATGAATATAAAGCTGATCAGATTCAGAGTCCTGCCAGGATCTTCCATTTATCCCATTTCATCTGCCGTCATCTGGAAGGCAGAATTAAAGATCAAAAAAATCTAGAAGCTGGGTATTTGATTTTGAGACAAAGGTCCTTTTGACCTCTTCCAAAGGATAGTCTGTGGTATGTGTGTTTGTGGTTTCCAAGCTCTGTTTCCATCAACTATTCCTCAATCTTGTAAGTATAATCTATGTTCCCACGAATGCATGTGTCTGTAGTGTACCTGCTACAGTCCTAGACTCAAACCATCCCCAGAAAGCTTGTTTTCTGAAAGACTCGGTGAAATACCGATGACGCATATTGGCAAATCTGTATGGAGAAGCCCTTCCAGATACTTTTCATGGTGTCAGAGAGGGGTTACTCTTAGTGTTACCTTCTTTTCGGGAGCAGACTCACCACTCTACTGCTTGACATTAAACAGACTTTATTTTTGTTTGTACTTCCCCCTTTCTTCTCTCCTCCTCTGCCTTCTCTGCTGCTTCTCTAGGTTTTTACTTGTTTTCTCCCAACCACTCAGATCCGGTGAGTATCGCTGATTTTTTGAACTGAAGCTTGAGTCCCATTTTGACCAGCTTGAGAATCAAACGTTACTGTGTAGATGTAGCTTATTCCTGTGTGGTGGCCTGGGAGGCCAGATGCTAGCTGGTCAGAGGCTGTTGGCAGTGTTACCCTGGTTTACCCCCTGCTGGGAAGGAAGACGGTGCAGAGAACTTCCTCAAAGACAGGATGTCCCAAAGGGAACGTTCCCATAGTTGTTCCTTGTTTTTGTTGTCTTAATTCCGTCAAACGAGCCACCTGCCACTGTCCCCAGGGGAGGAAGGTATCTGGGTGAAAGCTCGGCCACCTCAGACCGTGGCTGTCAGACTCTAGCAGCCACGAGTTCCTGCTGCTGCCGAGGCTGTAGCTTGCTAGGAGTTACTACTAGAAAAATGTGTAGATGAGCTTTTGATTGTTTTAACTCTTCACATGCTATCTCTAAGGGACCTTTAAAAAGGATTAATGCTGAAGTGCCCTTTCCCTAGGGGAGGCATCAGGGACTTGTAGAAGTGCCTGTATTCAAGTGGGTGGGTGGGCTGGTTGTTTTGTTTTTTGAACGAAATGTCACTATGAAATTCTGCTTGCGTTTTGTCATGGGAGTTTTTTCTTTCAGTACTTCAATACCTTAGAGAACAGCCTCGTGAATCTCTTCGTGCTTTTGACCACTTCAAAGTAAGTTCATGCTTTTCTAGCTCAGTCTTTCCCCTTGTCCCCAGAGAAGTCTAGCAGAGGGAAGAGTTTATTTGCAGAAATGCTCTGTCTCCAAATGTGACCCCTTTCCTCTGCATGAGAGAGAGATTTCCTGGGTCAGCCTGCATGGGAAGAACTGGTACTTCATTTTGTTTTAGGACACTGTGACCTCAGATGCAGAGTTATCTCTGAGTGACTCAGGCCACTTCATTGCTGTGAGGGCAATAAAGGAGGAAACGGCTTTATTAGGCCTTGGTCCAAGAAGGGAAAGTTTCTATTTGTGCTCCTTTGTCAGTCGACAGTTTGCTGTTGTGAAGTAGCTTCCTATTCCTCTGCTTCGGTTCACCTATCTGCCAGGAAAGGGGGATAACAACAGTAGGTAAATATTGATCTGCTGTCAGGGAGAGCTCTGAGGATTAGGAAATTAGCACAGGATGGAATAAATCTTAGATTGTAACACTCTTACACCAAGGCTGTATTGCTAAGTATCAAAGCACAACCCTTAGCCACGTTACAAATCCCCTTTGACCATTTCGTTTTCCGGATGTGCAAGGAATGTGCTTTTCATATTTATCTTTTTCATCATGCCTCCATGTTCTTGCTGCTCGTTGCTAGGCACAAACTTCTGTGTCATGAGCAACCACACATTTTGCAGAAATGTGCAGATCTTTGGATGTGAGTTTACACACACACCCCCATGTCCTGTGCCTCTTGCCTTTGTAGTGGGAAGTGTAACGTGAGATATTTGGTGCCTAAACTTGTGTCTTTTTCGGATGCAGTTTCCCTGACGTGATGATGCCATCTTATGCCCGGAACCCCTGGTCCTGTGTCTTCTTCATAGTGTATCTCTCCATTGAGCTGTACTTCATCATGAACTTGGTGAGTTTCTTGTTGAAGCACTTGACTTCTCTCTGCCTGACTTTGGAGCTCATTGCCCAGCAGAGTTTCCCTATTCCCAAGAGTGCTCTGTAATAATCTGAGACCCTTTGGCAGAATACTTCTAGAAATGGCAGCTTTGCTACACAGAGGAGTCTTTTAAAGTTTAACCACAAGGTGTTGAACTAAATCACAGGAAACAGAATGATACGAATATCTTTCAACTTCTCTCACATTAATATCATGCTTGGAGTGACATACTCAGTTGCATGAAATTTATTGTCCTTTTCTGTCTTAATTATTTATCGTAAAATGGCATTTTATTATCTGGGCTTGCCTGAAATACTTTGTAAATCAGTTTGAAGGGGATGGAATTACTAAGTATGGCAGGACTTGAAGAGTGCTGATAACTGCAGTGTGAGAGCATGGCTGCTGTGCTGGCGTTGCTTCTCACAGCATCTAGACAGGGCCAAGACCAGCTCAGGTGAGGATGTGAGCGGTGGAAAAGGGGTTGTCAAAGGAGTTGAGGAATTCTACAGCTCAAGGTGAGTGATTTGATGCTTATAGGGGGCTTGGATTTCGCTGCTGCTGTCCTAGATGGAGGGTTAGTTTTGACATGTGTTTGCCAAAGCTCCCGTGGAAGGGTAAGTCCAGAAAGCAGCCCTCAAAACCCGCTTTCCAGGAAGAGATCAGGGCATTTTAACAAACCTTATGATACTGTTTTCTGTTGGCATGTGTGGGGTTTAGTCTTAGCTCTTAAAACCACTAGTGAGCGTTAGGAGGCCAGAAACATCTGGACCTTTTCCAAAAAGTGGATCAATGTGTGTGCAGCGTGCGTGGCGATCCTTTTGTGGGATCCCGTATGGCCAATGGGCCCTTGCTGACTACATTCTGTCTCAGTCAGTGTAGCGCTTAGTAAATTCCTCCTGCAGGCAGTGCGTCTTCTTGGCTCTAGATGTTCCTGACTGTTCGAGAAGCACTGGCACAGGTAGCCACAGAGTATGCGGATCTCTCCTGTCTTCTCTCTGCAGCTTCTCGCTGTTGTGTTCGACACTTTCAATGACATCGAGAAAAGGAAGTTTAAGTCCTTGCTGCTGCACAAGCGCACAGCCATACAGCATGCCTACCGCTTGCTGATCACCAAACAGGTACAGGGCCCTGCAGGGAGGCTGAGAACAGCCTGGGATGCGGCAGGAGGGGAGGTCAGCTGTGTTTTAAGAACACAAGTGGTCTGGAGTGTTTAAAGAGCATGTTCCAGAAAAGTTGATTTATATCTGTTGACTGTAACCATACTTGCCAAGGGCTACTGTTTTTTCATTGTGTAACTTGTTTATATCTGTTTCTGGAGAAAACACAAAGTAGTCTGAATTTCAGACCCATGTGAGGTTATGGAAGTGTCTTGATAAAATGAGTGAAGTTTGTTCTGGAGAGCATGCAATCATTGATTTCTCTCTGATTCAGTGTGGGTCACGTGAGGACTTGCTTCTCAAGCACCAGTACTTAGAAGAGGGGTTGGTTATACATGTGAATGTACAGTACAGTTGCTAGATACTGCATGAGTAAATGGTGCAGAAACAGAAGTAATTCACCTACAAACAACTCTTTACAGGGACAGAGCACTGGGGGAGAGGGTTGATTTCTTGCTTAACTTGTGGAGCAGGAAGAGAAATAAGGCCCCAAAATAACTAACCCACTTCTAGTAGATTAGTTCATGTTTAGGGCACTTTCATTGTATGAACAGTTCCTGAGGAATAGCTGATAGTCTTAATAAAGTGCCAGTAATGGGATCTGTTAGGCTCTCTACTAATTTTTGCAAGAAGAGTGCTTGAACTCTGTTGCTTGGGGTGTCTAGTTGGACAATTTTCACATGATAGGGCAACAGGGAACAGCTCTGCATTTGCTGGAGGGACCGACTGCCTCTGTGCAGTTTTCTGATCTCTGTGCTCTGGGATAAGCTCAGTACGTTAAAGTAATAGCTTAGAGTACTTTTGGGGCTTAGTTATAATGGCATCTTACGATAATGTAGAAATCCTGCTTAAAACAAATCCAGAGTGAGAATTAAATACGCTAGCCTCTATGTGCTTCTGCCTGATGTCGCTGCTTATGACAACATTCCCTTGTTTCTAGAGGCCGTCTGGAATTTCCTTCAAGCACTTTGAAGGGCTGTTGCGGTTTTACAAGCCTCGGATGTGTGCCAGAGAGCGATATCTCACTTTCAAAGCACTGAATCAAAGCAATACTTCTTTAGTCAGGTAGGATGGTCTTACTGCTGCACCCAGAGCAGGGAGGTTGCTTCACTCCCTGAAGCTAGGCTGTACTTCAGAGAGGATGGCTGGGTTTATGGAAGGAAACTTGTCTGGGATGTGGGAATAGAGTTACGTGATTGAAAGGATTTGTCTGGGAAGCAGGGAGCTTGGAGGTGTGGGTACCCTGAGAGTTGAGGTTTTTCTTCAGAGGTGATGGAGTTCCTGCATGCCCTCTTGTGGATACAGCGATCTGCTGGCAGCCACCAGGCAGCCTCTATTTTCCACCTCCCCTGCCAGAACAGAGGAGCGAGAAATTAAGGAACAGCATTAGAGCCTGCAAAGAGCATTTCTTCACACAGTGCAGCCTCACAGCTTAACAAGTTTTTTTGTTTTTTTGGTTTTTTTTTCCAGCAGCTGGCTGTGTCCCCCAGGGTTTTGTTAATTAAAATCTGGTTCTGCTGGTGCTTTCAGGACTGTCATCCTCTGTGTTATGAGGCAGAGAATTACCATTCTGGTGGGTGGGTGGGTGGGTGCAGCTAACTCCAGCCAGCATGGAAGTAGAAGAAATTACAGCAGGAGACCTCCTCTTCCTTTTCCTTTGTTCTGGCCACAGACAGGCTTGGAGTGAGTCTCCCATGAAACAGGTGCCGATCCTTCTCCTTAAAGTCAAGTGCCACAAAGAAGTGTGGAAAATGGCATAGGGAGAAAGACTGAGTTTTTAAATTTAGGCACCTGATGACACCAATAAGAGTCTGAAAAGTTCAGCGTCCTCACTTTCAGATACCTAAAGCTGTTACAGGCCTGACCTTGAGCACCTAGACAGGTACTTACATTTTATGAGTTTCTTTGCTTTCATGTCCTTTTTCAAATTTCATTGTTACCTTGAAAAGAAAATGCGCAAAGTTGTTAGAAAAGAACTGTACAAGTAATTAAGACAGTCCAAGACTTCTTCATGAAGAGCAGTACAATCTCTGTCCCTTGGAGTTTGTTATCTAAGCCTCAGGTCTTTCCTTTCAGTGGTAAAATTCTGGAGTTCAGGAGAGTCAGAGTTTCCTCTAAGGGCTGTAGCATTACAGAAAGAAGGTAGGCTTTGCACCCTGTTCTGGCTATTGTCAGTCAGTAACCTTTGGCCAGACTGGGAAGAGGTCAGTGTTGAGTTATATCAACTGTGGTTGCAGTTCTAATAAGGAGTTAATAACTTCCAGGGACTCTCTACTGATGATGCCTGACAAGGACAATTAAGGATCTAATCAACTCCAAGGCTCTGATCAGATGCTTCTTTCTGTTTTGCAGTCTAAAGGATTTTTACAATTTCTATGAAGTTGTTGGCTTAAAATGGAAGGTAAGTATTTATTGTGTGGAGCAGAGGGGAAGCGTGTGTGGGAGGGACAGCAAAGGAGACCAGAGATTAAAGAGAAGGTGGGTAAGAAAAGGCAATCTAAAAGCAGCAGATGATGGGGATAAGGTGGGTCTCTGTCACTGCACGTTTTTTGTATGGATGTAGCATTGACTACTTCTGATCGTGGCTGTTCCAGGCAAAACGAAATCGCGAGCACTGGTTTGATGACCTTCCACGGACAGCATTCCTTATTTTTAAAGGTAACAGGCTGTGTTTTCATGACAGCATGTGTTCAACTAACAGGAAGAGCATTTCTTTAAAAAGACAGGGGCCTCTGAAGGGACCTTCTCTTATGTCCCTGGTAAACAGCTGAGGGAAGGCCTACTAACCAACTCTCTGTGTTTTCAGAGCCTCCAAGGCCAGAGCCTTGTATTCAGAGTCTCCAAGGAACATTTCTGTCATGTAAATATTCCCTGTGCTCTGACCCAAACCCTGGCTTCCTTAAAATAAGAGACTTCTTCGCAGAAGCTCTGTAGCAAAGCAGACCCTGAGGTCATGGAGGGCCATATTCCTTTTTCAGCACAGAGATTAGGTGGGGATTTATGATTGCTGAATCTAGTAGAGTTTACAGAGTTTCTCCATAGCCCAGGCAGCAACTCACAGCAGTGTCTGTGGAGTGGCAGTTGTGTTTTCACAAAAGCTGCTAGGCTTCCTCGTCCCAATATGTGGTTGCAGCGCTCGTACAGGTCAAGTGCAGCTGCTCGGGAAGGGGAAAGAGGTCTGAAATACTCATCCGTGTAATCCGTCTTGCAAATGTGATTTATGTCCCATGTCCCAAGTGTCCTGACTGAAATAAGAACTTATCTGCAATTATTTTTCAGTGTTGTATGCGAGTGGGAAACAGTTAATACCATCTTGATCCAAACACACAGCTGTCTTAGGAGTCCTACATATCTCTGCTGATGCATTCAACCCTTCTTGACAGCAAATGTGTTGTTCCAAACACAGGCAGTGCTTCAGCAGCTGCATTTACCTCTGTCCACACTGCAGAACTAGTACATAGAGAAAAAGAAGGCATCTCGGGGGTTAAGGATAGTGAGTTCATTGCTGCTAAAATTCTAGAGGAAACCTGAATTTGGTCCCAAGAAGTTAATAATCTGCTAATCTGTTTAGCTTCTGTGCTGAGGATTGGTATGAAAAATGTCTCTAAGAAAAACGTAGAGCAATCTGTGTGTGGGGTATGGAGGATCACGTGAACATTTGTTTTGTCATACTTTCCTTCATGCAGGCATCAACATCCTTGTGAAGTCCCGTGTGTTCCAATACACCATGTGTAAGTAGAAGTAATGAGCTGTCTCTCTGTTAGGCTCCCTTGATCACATAGGCCTGGTATGCTTGCAAGGACTTAGCGTGGTGGGGCCTGGTCTTTGGTCTGAGCATCTGAGCCATGGCTCACGTACAAATTTTGGAGTTTTGGCAGAGAGAGGGGCAACTGCATACTCGTACTGACCACTATTGCAGCCTGGACTCTCAGCTCTCGCTGTGTTGAGTCTTCTGGAGAGGCTCGTTGGTTCACTACTTCATAACGTACTTGTGGGTCTGATTCTGTAGAAGTCAGCTCATTGCATTTAGGTAGGTTGGTGGTTAGCTTTCACAAGCCTTGGGGTTTTTATCTTGCAGCTGAACATGCTGGGTAAGGAACTGCCTTGCCAGTCAACCACCTTCTTCCTTTTGCACTTGAGAAGGTGCAAGCATCATCATTGCTGGAGAGATTGCTTGGCAACTGTACTGCCTGCAAGAATGATTCTGTGCTCCTCTTCTCTAGAGAAGAAAGAGTAGCACTCGTGGTGCTACTTGCTATGTTCTAAATAATCTGTTCCTACTCAGTAATTTGGGGGTTTTTTTGAATGTTGGAGAAGTATTTAGTAAATTGGGATGCTAAACTAAAGAGGGTGAGGTGGGGTGGAGTGAGGAGATCTGAGTGAAAAGAAGTCCTGTACCTTCAGTTCTCAGGATTTGAATGTTAGGGAGCAGCGACAGATCCAAGCTGACAGGGCTTTGTCCCGCACTGCTGGGGACCCAGTGGTTCTCGAGATCTTGTGCCAGTGCTAGGAGGAAGCTGAAATATGGCAGAATGGAAGATAATGATGAGTAAAAATGATTGGGCATGATTCAGACCATTGTTTTGGTTTAGTTTTGTTTCTTTCTGAAGATAAAGGTACTGCATCTGTTAAAAGCCTGGGAAAAGTCAGGGTAGAAGACTCTCCCAAGTTATGAGGTCGATTTGTTCATTGAATTGGAAACAATGACCCTGCCACTTGTCCTATATTGTACTCTTTTTGTTAGCCTAGGAAATGGATGTCCTCTGGTCCAGGAGTGTTCTTGCTATGGGTTTTTACTTTGTTTTCCAGATACTGTGGTGGCTGTGAATGGAATTTGGATTCTTGTTGAAACCTTCATGCTGCAAGGTAGGAAACATTGCAGCTTGTTTCTTGACTGTGATGCTAGGGGATTAAAAAAGAGAAGGCTAGAAAAAGTTCTTCTTGTGTCTTGCAGGAGGGAATTTCTTCTCCAGAAACGTCCCGTGGAGCTACATAGTCTTCCTCACAAGTAAGCTGGTGCCTCCCAGCAGAGCTGTGTCATTTCATGAGTTGGGAGGGGAATAGGCAGCTCTGTTCCCAGAAGTTTATTCAGTTTGAAGTTAAAACTTAGCCACAGGCCTACAGACTCCATCTAGAACAATGCTGTGCCTGGCAGGGATTGGCAGCATCCATACAGACCCATGTGAACACTGCTGCACTGTTACACAGCTGCCTGTGCCACTGCCGTCTGGGGAGCCTCTTGCCTCTGGTGCAACTCTCTGCAAAAGCTGCTGTATTACTCTTAAAGCTGGCTTCAGCCTGAGAGCAGAATAGCCTCGTTTGTTAGGCACAGCGTGCAAAGTGATAAGCTCCTCCAGACTTGTGATGGCTCTGTGTGGAGTTGCTCACGTTGCTCTGCGCTGCACTGACTATTCCAGGAGGCATTACCAGCTCTGATCTGATTGCAGCTGTAAGCTGGCTCTCTGCCACACAAAGCAAGGCAGTCCTGCTGGAGTACAGAGTGCAGGAGCATGCTGAGGAGAAGACTGAAAGGGCTAGATGAACTAGTTGACAAGCTGAGTTTTCTAATTGAACTTCATCCCCTCCACGAACATGTACCTTAGTCTTCCTTTTCAGCCTAAGTATAAGCAATTGCATCTCCATGTGCTGGTTCCGTTGCACTGCCCTAGAACTCTTCAGTGATGTGAATTCACTTCCCTTCTCCTAGTATCTCTTGCTCGAGGAGAAGGAAGTAGCTCCATTGAATCAAAATAGTGTGTAAAACTGCCGCAAGAGCTTCTCTGGAGAATATAGGAGAGGTTGCTAACCTGTTATTTGACTGCTGGGTAGCTCTAGTGCTTCCCTGGCCATTAGTCTTCAAAACAGTTGTTACGAAAGTTTGAAGGCAGAGGCACTCTGCAATGCTTCTTTTCACGAAGGATGTTGTCATCCAGCTCTTCTCTTTGTTTCTTTCCTGCTCCCCGCCCTGCCTTGGAACCTGGAAAAAAAGATTTGGGGATGACAAACAAGGTGTCATCATGTTATTATGGTGTTCTTTAACCTACAGGCCCAGAAGGTGCTGCTAGGACAGAGGGTGAAAGTAGATGGCTCTTCTTTGAAAGGATGTCTCCCTGCAGATCAAGGCTAGGCTACGGGATGTGGATATGTTCCACCGAGACAGAAGGAAATAAACAGGCAGGACTGAATTCCCTACACTACTTACTGGCCTTTCCTGCGGGAGCTTGTGCCTCAACAGTTATAGTGTGTTAGCCAGCTAAGTGTTTTGTAGGCTGCTCTGGAGAGAAATCGCCATGAATACAGGAAAATGTGTTGATTTGGAGGGAAAATGTCTCTTTGGCATCTCACCAAGAATAAGGAGGATGGGTGGGGGTCTGTTAAACCTATGTTCAGAAGTCATGTACTTAAAGTACCACGTGTCTTTGAGGGCAAGCCTTTGCATAAGTCCTCCTTGTGATGCTGCTTATTTCTGACCATGGCTGTCATCTTGTTTTACAGTCTATGGCGTGGAGCTGCTCCTGAAGACCACTGGACTGGGGCCCATTGAGTACCTGTCCTCTGGTTGGAATCTGTAAGTGCGCACTGATGTTTTTGAGAGGTGGTGAAAATTGTTGGGTCAGAAAGACCGACTTCTGAGATGAGTTTTTAGGCCTGTAGACAAGGCCGTCAGCAGGCTATTATAATTCTTCTGCCTTTGGCCTTGTGCATCTTGTTAGGCTGCAGCAGCACCAAGTACCTCTTCTCTACTGAAACACTAGTGATAAATCATTGCTCTTACTTTATTTTCTTTTTTTCTTTCCAGCTTTGACTTCTCAGTCACCCTGTTTGCATTTTTGGGGCTCATGGCACTGGCATTTAACATGGAGCCATTCTACTTCATTGTGGTCTTGCGACCCCTTCAGCTGCTGAGGTGAGACAGGAGGGCTGGGGGGGGCGGGTACAGAGAGCAGGTGGGTAAGAAAACAGCCAGGCTTGTTTTCCATCAATCCAGTTGGGGACCGAGCTCCTTACCAGGAGAGGGCAAGGATTGCGCTGTGGGTACGTGACCATGGCAAACGGGAATTGCTTGGGGTAATGAGATTAGCCAGAGTTATCAAAATGAACGATAACAAAAACTTGGGATGGGATATGAAACCCCGTGCTTTGGAGCTTAAGCTGATCTCTAATAGAGATCAAGGGATTTACCGGGGGCAGATTATCCTGTGTCTGCCTTCGTGGGGTTCTTACACCTCCTCTAAATTGTCTGATGCTGTTCAGAGAAAAGCTCTTCTGTCAGGGTGAGACAGTCTGAGCCAGTTTAATAATTTCCATTGAATTACCAGAAATTACAGTTTTCAAAGGATGCTGCTTTCTAGGGTGAAGTACAACCCTGCTCTAACTGCATCTCACACTTTAAGCAAGACTGCGGCCTGTAACCTCTCTGCAGCTCAGTAAGATGGGTCTGATTAACCCTCTCATCTCAAGGCTGTTAACAGAGGTATATTCACCTTCGCAGAATACTTTGAGAGCCATAGAGGGAAGGCATTTGAGGCAAAATGTTGTTTTGTTAAAAACAAGCTAATGTAATTTAGCTCTTCAGTGAGGATTTAAAGAACACTTTATGACACTCAAGGGGGAAAAAAAAAAATGTTTTCTCTGTTGCTCCCCTGCCAAAGCCTGTGTTTGGCAGCTGTGTTTCTCTGTAAAGGCTGATGGAGTTGCCAAATCTTAAATTAGCAGGCACAATGTAGTTTTCTTTCATCAATTTTTATTGGGTCATGGGGGAAACACAGAAAAGCTTGTGTCTGAGGAAAGGAGTAATGAATCCTGACCCTGTACACAGGACTAGTTTAAGTTCTTATGATTTTTATTTTTTTTAAATAGCTATTTATGCATCATGCTGTGTAAAAAGACGTAGACTTTTTCTTGAGATTCCTCAATCCTGTAAACACCTAGTTGAACATGTCATAAACATTCAGATGGGACAGCGGGACATTGTTAGGTGAGCAGAAACAATTTAAGCAAGAGCAGATCCTGTGAGTTTGGTGTCAGGAAACCTTACTGTTCGTTGACCTGGGAGGTGCAGAGAACTGTGATACTCTTAACTATTTCCAGCAACACCAGGAACCTTGCAGTGCTTAGGTAACTACTGGCTTCTCCTTTCAGGCTATTTAAATTGAAGAAGCGCTACAGAAATGTCCTGGACACTATGTTTGAGTTGTTCCCCCGGATGGCCAGGTACTAACTCCTTCTCTTTGGGTGATGGTGGGGAGAAGGGAGTGAAGGTTTAGTGTCTAGGGCTGGGGTCAGGATAGGGACCTGTCAAACCTGCTGAAGGTGTTTATGCTCTGATCTGTCAACAGATTGTTGCTGATTCTTCAGTGTGCTGCAGTGGGGTGTTAATCTTCCAATTTCTTGGAGCAGTATACGATAAGCAACACTCCAGCACCCTGGGCCTCCTGCTTTTGTGTTAGGAGGATAACTAAGAGTCAACGCTTGTTTAATTTTTCTCCCCCATCTCAGCTTTTGGTGAGAGGGGAGGCCCATGTGGGAGAAACATTGGCATGGATATAGTCAGTACCAGATGTTGCCCTGTCCTTAGTACAGCCACTTGAGAGCATTATGGTGAAATGGTGGGGCAGAAGGAGCTTGGTGTTTGAGTGGGGCGTCCTCAGACCTTATTCCCTTGAAGTATGTCTGAGTAGAGCCTGTTAGCTAGAGAACCCTGTTCTTGGCACAGTCCCTGCATCCAAGGACATAGAGAGGGCAGAAACAGTGTGTGTTGTTCTTTAATAAAGAAACTGCAGAGAGACGTTTGTTTACCAGAAAAAGGCAGACTGGGAGGGAATCCAGGTTGCTCTTTAGTTTCTCTCTTCAGCGAGTGGCAAGCTCCTTGTCCAAGGACTTCTTGAATGAGAGCAGGCAAAGAACAGCAGAGCCACAGTGGCAGGGAAGGTGGTCTGGGGTTTTCGGTGCTACTTCCCATCCGTCAGAAATTCCTTCCAGAGCAACCAGCCTGTGACTTTGTGTTTCCCTGCCTTAGCAACTCTTCAGTAGCACAGTACTCTTTCTGTTTTTGCCTCCAGCCTGGGTTTAACCCTGCTGATCTTCTACTATTGCTTTGCCATTGTTGGCATGGAGTTCTTTGCTGGTGTGGTCTACCCGAACTGCTGCAAGTGAGTACCACAAATCCACTCCCCTCTGCAGTGGCTTTGGTGCACAGCCAGTAGCAGCAAGCTCTGGCAGCTCTGTCTCCCTGTGGAGAAGGGGCCAGAGGATGGGTCTGAAAGGAGTTTTACAGCTAAGGCAACATGCTGTGAAAATCTAGGAGACACTTCACTTCTCTAGGTAAGATTGGATGAAATGGGTTTTGCATTGCATTTGGAAAGGGAGAGATTTCTGTGGTAGGGCTGGCTGGTTTTAATGAGCTCTGTAACTTGCCTCAGCTAGCTGCACTGGGAGGGCTTCTTCATGGTACTGTGGCTGGAAACTCTTGTAACATCTGCTCTAGAGTGAACTTGGGATTTTTGTCTTGGTGATGCCAGAGTTGCTTGGCCAGACATGTTACATATTTAGGCCTCACTTTGTACCAAGATAAATTCAGCTGGTCTTGGAAGCTAAGCTGTCCTGTGTCCTTCTCATCGTAAATGATGGCAGACCACTTGGAAATGCCAAGCTTTAAGGGTGTGAGCCAAGGAGTCTAACTCAGACACTCAGTTTTGCTGGTATAATGTTTGCTGAATGCTTAGAAAGACTCCATGTGCTCCCTGGGCTTGTGCTGACCTGTGAAGGAGAGAGGCTTTCTTTCAGAGAAAAAGGCAAGTGTTAGCCAAGAGGTAGGAACTGCCACCCTGCTCACCACCTTCTAAGTGTTCTGGTATTTATAACCCTTGAGATTTTCCTTGCTTTTCCAGTTCTCTTCTCATTCTTTGTCCTGGTTTCTCCAACCAGCACAAGCACAGTCGCAGATTCCTATCGCTGGGTGAATCATACAGTTGGCAACAAGACGGTTGTGGAAGAAGGTTATTACTATCTCAACAACTTCGACAACATTTTGAACAGCTTTGGTAAGGGCAGTTTTGTCCATAGCAAAGACTATTTCTTACTCCATCTGTGTTCCTGCAGAGCTAGATGGCAGGACTGTGGTGCTCATGTAAGCCTGGGGCTCTCCCGTAGAGTCCTACTAATGCACCTCAAACGCTCAGCATCCTGCTCGTTCTGTCTGGAGAACTCCAGCTGACTAATTGTGCCATGACTGTTTTGCAAAAGTAAGCAGATGTCTCTTAAAAGCCAGTGTGAAGCCAGCAGGTCTGTTCTAACTGGTGATCAGACCAGACTTCCAGAGATGTTTATGGAGGGCTTTAAGTCACTGCCCTTCTAAAGAACCAATAGTGATGCTAATACATTTCTTTAAACCCACTGATGAAGAATTAATTTGAATGTGTTGATTACTTTCCAATTGATTTTTCTTAACGTGTGAGCAGAGATGCTTATCTCCTGGAGATTTCAGAGGTCCCCATGCTCTCTAGTGGAAAGAGTCATGTCTGTTTCTGATTCTTTTAAGAAATATAGATTAAGCCATGCTGCTGGCTCTGTGGATCTAGCCCCCTTTGTCTGAAGTAATTGCAGTGATGAGGGTCTGCATCCTGTCTCTGGATTTGCTGGCTGTATTGAAACTTTGGTGTCTTGCGTCAGTCTTCCCTGTCAAACGCTTTGTCTAAGAATCACTGTAAAGTAGGTCAGGATGGATAAAGCAATTGTGTCTATTTTTTCTCCCACTTGTATACAGTCACGCTGTTTGAGCTGACAGTCGTCAATGACTGGTACATCATCATGGTAAGTAAACCTCAGCTACCTTGTGTGTATAGACAGCACAGACTCTTTGGCAGTTGAGCTAGATCTTCCATGCCACCGCTGCTTTCTTCCCTTGGTGATTGGAGATGGGCCCAACATTGTCACTTGTTGTCAGACATCTTTTGGTCCTGATCGTTGGCAGTGGCATTTGACCTCTGGCATGCTGCTGGGCATGTTTTCTTGTGAATCTTGACCAGCCTTCAGGCCAGGTTTCACGGTCTGGACAAATGAAGTCATTCTGTATTCCAGCTTGTCACCTTGCTGTCCAAGCTGTGTTCTCATAGCAGCAACGGCTCTTACAGCCACAAGCTTTAAATGTTCTGTGTGTTTGCATATAGGAACCTCTCTTTATAGTTTGAGAGGCAGATTAGCTGCAAGGACCAGTTGGGGCATTGAGCATTGTACAGGCAGTCCCTGGGGCTACCTCTGGAGCCATGAATGAGCAACAGATCGTGTTTATGCTGCTTTATGTCTGTTGGCAAGCAGTTAACAGCAGACTCTCCCTTCTTTTGTGCACTACTGACTTCTTCCCTCTCCTCTTTAGGAAGGGGTGACATCCCAAACCACTCACTGGAGCCGTCTTTACTTCATGATCTTCTATATTGTGACCATGGTAGGTTTCTGGACATGCTTTGTGCATCAAATAGTGGGGATGAGGAGGGGAGACAGCTTTTGCTCTGTTCCAGAGGGAGCTTCCATCCCTAAATGAGGACAACTTTGCTATTCTGCATAAACGTCTTCCAGAAACAGGTGTGAGTCCACATCGCTTGCAGAAGGTTGAATTTATGGGCATTGACAAAGCTGCTGCTGCACAAATCTGGGCCTGGGGTGAGGACTAGGGCAGCACAAGAGTTTTGTTCTGTCCCCGTTGTGGTTGACTGTTACCAGTTTACTCACAGGTAGATGTGTGACGTGCATCCCCTCTGCCTTGGAGGAGCTGGGGAGCATATTGTTGAAGCACAGACCAAAGGCTCAGCTTCCTGTTGAATTGGGCTGGAAGAATCCCCCAGCAGCAGCCTCCTGATCTCTTCTGTTCACATCCTCTCCCAGGTGGTGATGACAATCATCGTGGCTTTTATTCTGGATGCTTTTGTCTTCCGCATGAACTACACTCGGAAGAACCAAGATTCAGAAGGTCAGAACTGAGGACTGGTTGACCTACAACGTGTCTTCTCTCCCTGGTGTCTTATGTCTGTAGGAGAAAATGAGATTGGCCAGCAAAGACCAGATTTTTTTTTTTAATTTTTTTTTTTTAGCCTGTCTTGCTAAGCTCATTCTTATGCTTTTATGTGATATTTCTATCTGGTCTTTCTGCTCTGCCCCTCATCCCTCCGACAGCACTCCCCAAAAAAGTGTGTGTGTGTGTATGTATGTGGTTTTTTATATATATATATATGTGTGTGTGTGCGCGCGTGTGCGTGCGCATATAAACTTCAACTACTTGAGCCGTTTCAACAAAATTATTTGAAGATAGGAAGTCTGCGTGCATTTCATGAAGGAAATCTAGGAAATATTACAGCAATGATGTAGCAAAGCTCAACAAGAGACCTTACAGGAGGGGAAGGTGATTATTTTTTTTAAAAACCGATTTCCCTTCCTCACTAATACACTCACTGGCACCAGAAGATGTCGCCAAGTGGCTTGTCCGGCTTTTGGGCACCAAAACGCTGGATCCAAGTGGTTTGCCAGCACTCTTTGCCATGACATGGAGGACCGCCTATCCAGTTCTTACCACATCTCCCAGTTGTACTTAGACTGGTGACTATGTGCTGGTTTTGGGCATGCCTTCCTGTACCCTTTAGGAACTGACAGTGACTTGTCTCCATCCCCTCACCCCTGTGAGTCTCAGTTTTACTCACTGTCCTTTGTCCCCTGAGCTGGTTGTCTGAAACTGCATGTAACTTCATGACCTGCTAATTTAGGTGCCATAAACACATTAATCTCTCAGAGCCCTTCCCCTGCTATTCCTTCAGGTGAGCTACACCCAGACTTCTCTATTCATTCTCCATGCAGACTAATCTTAATTCTTTACACTTTTCTGCAGGAAGGGGACATAGCTGCTGCATTCATATGTTTAATACCAGACAGTCTTCCCCTCAGAAATGTGATGAAGGCCCCAGCCATAGGAGTAGCTTTGATCAGCCCCTCATCTTTCTTAGGTGCCAGAAGATCAGATTTGCATGGCTCAGGCCCATAGGAGCCAGGTGGTGTTAGTTACAGAAACACTTTTCATTGTGATCCCTCCTGCACCCAGTTTGAAGAGTGCAGTGAAAGACATTTGTTAACACTGAATTCCCAGGCTGTGTTAGGCAGCTGAAGGTCAAAAGGCAGCAATTCCTGTGTGATTATTTGCTTTGCTAGTTAATTTACAGGCAAGAAAAAGCTACAAGAGTTCTTTTTAAGATACTGAGGAGCCTGATGGTTTAAAAAGCTGAGATGCTCGCTGGCCCTACACACTAGTTAACTTCTTCGCTGCCTTGTTGGGGGATGAGGACATACACGTTCTAGTCACAAAAATAGGTACAGGCTGTGCCTGGCATCTGGCTTGGTCCTGTGTGCTGTAAAGCTTTGCCTTCCAGGATTATCGTAGTGGCTGATGAAGCAATGTTCATCTTGGAGACTTTTTTTTTCTCTTTCTTTTTCTTGCCTCTCCAGAAGACAATGGCATTGTGCTGGAGAAGGAGATCTCCAAGGAGGAAGTGGTTGGCATAATCGAGCTGTACAAGCGGAGCTCAGCTGCCACTGAAACTGCACAGCTGCAGAAAATTGTTTTGCAGATGGACAAATACGGGGTAAGAGGAAACACTTACTGCAAGTTCTCGGCTTCAAGGGAGGGAGGCATGCCAGGCCCACGAATGCCTTTTGGCTGTCTTAAGAGAGAAGCTACATGTGTTTCTGTAGTGTTGAGAGCTGAGCTACTGGAGGGACTCTGCAGCATCGTCACAAAATTTTGCTGCTCTAGAAAAGTAGCAGCTGAATTTCCCCTGCACTCTGAATAGCCTTGACAAAGGCTCGTTGCTATTGCCTGCAAACTTTGCTTAGAGCTGTCCTGGCCCAGTACTGAATGGAAAAAAGTCTATTTGTTTTTCTCTAAGGAAGCCACTGTCTTGTGATTCTCCTGCATCTCTCTCTGTGCCATCGTACAGTTAGGCTTGGACAGTCCTGAAACATTATGCAGCAGTATGATGGTATCGATTCCAAACACCAGGCTTCCTTTCTCCATGGCACTGCTTACATTTTCATTCTAAAATAGGATGGGCAATTGGGAAAATGAGCTGACCTGGGTAACTGCTCTTGTCTCAGAACTGTTGTCTCATGCATCTGGGAAGAGCTTAAATGGTTGTTTTAATAATAGCCATTATGTTCCTGTATCACCACTACAAAGTGCAGGTGCTACAGTCTCTTAGGCAACCTTTATTTGCTTTGGTTGGCTTAGTATTTAAAGGCTGAGTCTTGTTCACGCAGGCAAAATTCAGAATAGCGGTGATGATACTGATCAGAAGCAGTTTTCAAGACAATAAACCAGAGGAGATGCTGTCCTCAACCTTGCAATGGAGTACAGAATGATGATGCCAGACCTGAGGTTTCTTTTGCTTCTCAATTCTGTTCATATAACTCATGTGGTCAGAGAGTAATTCAGACTTCGGCTCTCTGCTTACGTGATTTAAGAAGTCCAGGCCCATGGAGTAAATGGTGTGGTTTAGACAAGCAGGACCTGAAATTGTTCTCAGACGAGATCTTATTTGGAGGCTTGGGTTTGAGCCTTGTTCCAGACGCTGATGTTATGTTCATCTGACTAAATTAAGCACCACTGACAGATGCATCTATCCGAGCTACAGCTTCCTCTGTAGCCTTTGGGGATCTGCTCAGTGTGACTCATCTCAGCCTGCAGTAGATGCCTGCATTTGTTTAGGTAATGTGCACCCTAAAATGCCTTTTTCTCGTGACAGCAGAAGGAGCCCAGGATAGCCCGAGGTCATCAGTGGATGATGGGTGTCCTTGTGAAGGATGCCTGAAGTTCCAGGGACTGATCCTGTGAGCTGCTCAGTGACTGATGAATGTCTTTTTTGTTTTTCCCTCCTCCTTCCACCAACTCTTTAGCAAATGTCAACACTGTTTCTGGGACGCAGATCAAGGACCAAGAGTGATTTGAGTATGAAGATGTATGAGGAGGAGATACAGGTACGTGGGCCTGAGTTGGAAATATCAGCAAGTCTCTGTGGTAAGCAGAACGTTGCCTAGAATAACAAACCATCCTTTTAAACACTGGAAGCCTTCTTCCTCCAAGACCCAGGCAGCCATGTGCTCTGTGAGAAGGGTGGGCGGTAGATGAAGTGTACTTCAGATTCATCCATTCTGGCATTCAGGGACTTTCTTAAACCACAGAGCACGTCAGAGCCTCTTCAGTGGGTCCAGGTGCCCGGCTGCGCAGGCGCGTGTCAGCCGAGTCACGGTGACTGCACACTCAGTGTGTTCGTAGGCACTCCAGCTCGGCTGAGCTTACCTAGACTCACCGAGGTGGACGTGTTTGCTCCGGTTATGAGGACATGGGGCTTGGCTGCTGAACGCTAATTTGTTAAGCCACTGGAATGTGATTTGTGTTTGAGCTTGGGCGTGCCTGTCTGACACAGAAACCCAGTGTTCTCCCAGGCAGAGAGCTGCTTGGTGCCGGCAATGCTGCCTGGTTTTCCATCAGAATAGCAGGCTAACAAAGATAGGAAACACTTAAATCAACTCACTCTCTGGATTGTTTAGGACATTTCTGCTAGTGCCCTTTGTGGTCAGGAGCTTTATGCCGTGGATTTGGTCACTGTAGTGCCTGCCAGACACTAACCTCCAGGTTGAAGGTCATGGGCTAATGTAATGATTAGTACTGAAAGAATTAATCTCGCAACTATCTGAATCTGTCCTTTGTCCCTTGGGCAGCTAGCTCGGGGATGAGTCTTCAGTCCCCCTAACAAAAATAAACATGTTCTTTACCATGGAGCTGGGTGGAAATCTGCAGAGAAGCTCCCCGCCTGTTCTGCTTGGTCTCTGATTCAGGAATGTAACATGCTGTAACACCCTGGGCGCTGCCCAGGATAGGGAGCGATTCTTCAAATCCCAAACGTCATGGAGACATCAATGCTAGAGTCCTAGAGGTTCAGGAGGGACATTCTGAGAGAGGGATGTTTCCTTGCCCGGGTTGGTCAGTTCAGCCAACTGTAGCTGAGCCATAGCTGGTACCTCTTGCTTGGAGTGTGGGTGGCAAGGTCTCGGTGCATCCAGCACAGCCATGCTGCAGTTAACCGGGTTGTTCCAGGAGGTTAGGCTATATCCAGGGCTTTGGAAAGAGGCGCTCTGTGCCTGAGCAAATGTGCCCTCACATGGCAGAGCAGCCAAAGGCTCTGCCCTTCAGGGTCCTGCTGGGGGGCTGCGAGGCCAGTATGGGGCAGAGCCTGATCTCGGTGTGTTTGATCTCCTGTTGCAGGAATGGTATGAGGAGCATTCCAGAAAAGAGGACTCTCAGACACCGTTGCAAGAGCCTGCATCTGCTTCCAACAGCTCTCTGAAGCCCCTGAGCCTCCGACAACGCTCCCAGACTGTCATTTAGGCCTAGCTAACGCAAGCCGCCTTCTATGCAATAACCTAGAGTATTACTTCACAACGTATATATTGGGATGATGTATATAGATCTGTTCAGTGTACTGTTTGGCTTTAGGGTTTAAATCTCTTCCCCTAGGCAGTGAATTGCTGAAAAACCAGAGGCTCAGGGGACTCTGTGTAAGGCTGCTACACACAGATTGAGCATGATGCCCATGCTCGGCACAGAGTGAACATCTCGGACAGAACAGAGACCTTCTCCCTCTGAGCCACTTGCCAGGCTCAAGCCTACTGTTTTTCTTACCGCTAACAGACTTTGGGGAAAGGGATGTGTAATCCATTAACAGCAGGAAATGTGCTGAAGCCACCTGCTTAATATTAAAACTTTAGCCCTTTTTGAAGATCTCTTTTGCTTAAAGGGTACCATTAACCCAGGAATAAAAGATCAGGGAGTGAGTTTTTGTTTCTTCTCCACCTTCCTTATGCAAAGAAAGGGGAGGTGGTGTGAAATTTCAGCACTTTTGGAAGAGCAGTCTGCCTTTCCCCTCCTTTTTGGCACACCTAGATGCACTCCCTGTAGTAGATCCAGCTCTGATTATTGAATTTAACTGTCCCCAAGCAGTTCTGTGGCAGCTGGAGACAGAACTGAGGGCCAGCATCTCGTCGTATTATGACCATAGGCGGGACAGGAGTTTGGGGAGACAAACTCTGTCTCTGCTATAGCTATCCAATATCTGCATCACTGCTGGTGGGTTCTGCCTGCGGCACTGCCCGGGATTGTGATCACCTCTGTAAACCCCAAAGCTCCTGTCTGTTCAGTGAGAGGGGGAATTCTGCAGAGTGAAAGTGGCTGTTGACCTCTGCCACTTGGCTACCTGCTCTGTAAGTGGCAAATCTCTGGCCGGTGCTTAGCTCAAATAGATGACTAGGAGGAAGAAATGGAAGGTTTTGTATCTCCAAGTCTGACTTCTTTCTGCCTGGCTCTGGGTTAAGGAGAGCTTATGGGCATCAGACAGTACTGCTGGTTAGTCCTCACCCAGGTCACTGTTTATACTCTTTATACAGGTGAGCGAGTCCCAGCACAGCGGTGTTGCTCCTCCCTTGCTCTCACCCTTGCAGAAATGTTCCTCAGGCTGGCAAATGCTGACCGAGTCAGATCTTAGGAAGATCCACCGAAGAGCTTTACGGCTCCCCTGAATTCTGGATGCAGGAGGAACGTGGAAGACGATGATTCTTCTCACCCGTTTGGTTTTCTGCAGCTGGCAAGGAGGCTGCCAGACCCGGTAGCTGAGGGATGGGGAAGGAAGGGGGAGAAGGGATCCCTTCTCAGTTCTGCCACGTTTATTCTGTGATCGTGGCAGGTTGCGACATCGCTCGTGTTTCATTGCCCGCAATGCGATGAGAACCTGTCTCTGTGAACTCCCCTTTTTCTCCCTGTCAGCAAAGAAAGTGCTGAGGGCTAGAAGTATCTGTCAGCTGGGAGGCTCCCCTCACCTCTTGCTGTTTGATCTTTTCTCAGGTTCAGACTAAGAGTAGAGCTTGCTGGGGAGGTTTTCTCCTTCCTCCAGATAGATCAGGCAGTGGGAGATCTGTGTGCCCATTCCCTTTGTCCCACATACCTGTTTTTTCCTTGGTAGCCTCACTACATGTGGCACAAGGACAGCGGGAGAGGACTGATCCTACCCGGGCAGCTCAGGAGCATTTCCTGGGTGGATGGGACTTTCAAAAGTAGGCAAGACGGAGCTGCTTCTGAAAATCCCTCCCTGCATAGCATGGTGGGAGCATTTGGGCTATGGGATGGAAAGAGCGGGTGAGCAGCTTTCCGGGCAGAATGCACACCAGCGTCTGCTCTCAACCCTTGCCAAATTCCCTGGGTGCCTCAGGGCTACTCTTTGTTTCCTTTCTGGGTACTGCAGGTATGAAACTACTTCTGAGCTGAACCGTGAAGGACCTTAAAGGGCTGTTTTCCAAACCATAAATTTGACCACAAATTAATGAGCAGTGCAGTTGTTGCTCTTGCAGTTGCTCTGCATGGAGTCGCAGCCTGGGAGATTTATCCAGATTAGTCCTGGGGCTGGAGGAGATGTTGTTTATTCTGTTTTAAGTTGTGGGCAGGATGAATGAGCATTGTGAAGGTTAGGGGGGGAAAAAAGAAGTGGCTGTGTTTAAACTCCGCATTCCCCTACAGCCTATTTCTCCTTGTAGGGCTGTAAGTGACTTTTTTTGGGGTGTTTTCTGGGTGCAAAAGGAGCTGCAGCTTTAAGCTATATTGAGGGGGGCACTCACCTGCTTAACATGCAATAACAGGGCTCTCGCATCACAGAGATGGGAATCCTTGGGCTGGGGTTCAGGGCTTAGGTGCTGCTTCCGTGGTTTCGTGCTGAGGTGTTGATCGGCCCCCATGTACACACTGTATTAATTATTTTTGTAAACGAAGGAGGGTCACAGAAGTTTACTTCTTCCATACAACTTTGGAAGGAAACAAAGTTTGAGTACGGGGCATCCCCTTCTATTTATCCTCCTCTCCCCCACCTGACACACAGACTAACGACAGAGACAATCATTTTGTAGGGAGCAAGGGAGGAAGCACTGCAGGATTTTGTATGCTGGCGTTTTGTTTATAAAATGATTTTATGGACATGTCTGTAAAATGTTCTCTAGATATTTTCAAGCACACTAATAAAAAGCATCCTCGGCTTTGTAAAGACACTGGCTTCCTTTCCTCCTTCTCGTGTTATTCCAGAAGTGGGGCTTGGCGGCAGCTGAAGCATTTCCACAGTGTTTGAAGAGGAGCGGTGCCCGCCCTCCCTCTCTGGTGGGAACTGCTTGCGTGGGCATATTTTGCATGCATGCCCTGCCGAGCTGCTCTGAATTCTTGTTCCTGGACATGGCAAAGCCCAGCTTCCCTTCTGCCCTCCCCCCTGCCAGTTTTTTTTTCCTAAACGTTAAGATAACGCTTTCAAACTTACATTTTTTTTAAAGCTATCCCAATGCGATGTTTAAGGTTCGAAGGGGGTTTCTTTGCCCCTGTACCTCTGCATTGGTACGTTGGCTGCGGTTTTGATTGCTTAGCCCTGCTGCGTGTAAGGAAGCGGGGCTTGTCTCCCAGTATAATTCCGGCAGCTGCTGGTAACTTGTGAGCAGGTTCAGGGCAGACCCAATAGCTGCAGGCGCAGGGAGCGTTATTTTTTGTGAAAGCCCGTATCTGGTTAGAAAAAGGAGAAATGATCCAGGCCCAGGAGGCTGCTGACACCCCTAGAAAGGAGCAGGAACCAGGTCTGGCAGTTGTGCTTCTTGCAAAACAGCCCCTCTCTCCCCACGGAGGAGAAATGCGGTTGTCCATCCGTAACGGCAGTTTACTTTCCAGCCCGCCTTCTGCAGACCCTCTGACGGGGACCAGAAGCACCAAGCCCACCCGCTCCGCTTCTGCTGGGACCACGGGCTGCCCAGCCAGCGTCCCCATCCCAGGGGAGCTGAGTAATGCCCCTGGCAGCCCGTGCCGACCCCGTGCCGTGACTGGCGTGACGCTGCAGTTCCCAACCGGGCAACTAAATGGCCGAGTCAGGCGCATGTGACTGCTGTTGAGAAATCATCTGTTGGTGAACCTGGAGGAAACCACTTCCCTGAGCTGCTGGCGAAAACCGCCCTGCGTGGCCGAGGGTGTCAGCCTCCCCAGGCCCCTCTGCTGCTGGCTGGGCTCCGGAGAAGCTACTGGTGTTCCCTCTCCCCTCCAAAAACACCATGCTGGGTAAGGGTTGTGTTACACTAGCGTACGGCAGGAAAAAACACCCTCGCAGCAAACAACACAAGTCAAGGTTGGGTTTGTGTTTGGGGTTTTTATTGCAATTTTTTTTTTTTTACAGTGTCTAAACCGAGTCTTGCCAGAGGCTAACACTGTGTGTGGAAACCTTCAAGTCCTTTCCTACAGCTCCGTCCGCCGTAGGAGGAGAAAAGTAGGATCTGAAACTCGGGTTGAAAAACATAGCTTAAAAAAAGCAGGGGAAACCAGCCTCCCTTGGTTTGTTGTTGTTTTTTTTTTTTTTTCCTCCAGCTTCACTTGCATTAAAACCAAGCACTGCCCTGGAGCTTTGTCTCGCCTTAACCCCACCTCGCTTTGCCTCGGCTGCTATTTCAAGCCTGCGGTGCGAACACGTCGCGTCCTTCGCAATGACAAGCTTGTGCTCAGACCTTCACAGAGTTACCCCGTGTAGCACGACCGTCCTACCCCTGTCCCAGAGCAGCCAGGATGGAGACAGGGAGGGGAAAGTAAAGTGGTTGAAGAAGTAAAACCTCTCCTGTTGTGAGCCTGGGCTGGAGCCGTCTTCTCCTCTGCCCCTTGCCACCGGGACCAGAGGAAGCTGAGGTCTTAACCTCACTCCGGCCCAGAGCCGCCTTGAGTTAAACAAGATTAAACAGAGCGGGGAGAGGAAAAAGCTAATGACTAACAGCTCCTTTTCCTGTCCCAAAGCACAACCAACAAACAGCCCCCCCCCATCCCCAGAAAGCGAGGGCCGGGCTGGCACGCGATGCCTCCAGCACGGGATGGCAACGGCACGTTTGGGGTCGAGATGCCCTTGTCCCCCTGGCAGGGACAGGGAGAGGGGACGGCAAGGTCCCGATCCGGTGGGGAGGCAGAGTGAGAGCCAGGGATGGATATCCCATCTCCTGCCGGCGCTGGGGGCCGGTCAGATGGCGGAGAGACGGATCACCCTGAACTCGGTCAGCAGGGCCACGCAGAGGAAGGCCAGGTAGTAGAGGATGAGGCAGGCGCCATACGCCTTGCCCAGTTGGAAGCACTGCACTGGCACTGACACGAAGGAGAAGACCAAGCTCAGTCCTAGAGCCCCAGCGAGGATCCAGACCAGGAGGCTGTCAGGCTCCAGCTGCCGGAGAGAATGGGGAGCGATGGGGAGTGACACCGGGGTCCCGCTGCCAGCTCGACCCGTGCCACCCGTGTCCCTGCAACCTTACCTTCACCACCAGCTGGCTGCTGGTCATCTGCAGCAGGCAGCCAAGTCCCACGCCGACCAGGATGTCTGGGGCACGTTCAGGATGGAGACGCAGCACAAAGCCTCCCGGAGGGTGGCACGGCCTCTTGCCTTTGGCAGATCCCAAATCTGGCGGACTCCAGCCCAAACCCCCACCCTGCTGGGGCTGGGACAGCAGTGGGGA